CGCACAGCCTCCTCCCGTAACCAGACGACCCAGCAGACCCCAGGAGGTCCACCTCCTCCCACCCCTATCACAACCAAGGCACACTCGCCAGCCAACCTAGCACAGCCAGCACCGAAGGCTCCTCAGCAAGCCAACCAACCAGCGGGCCCTCCTCCCCCGACTCCGGTACACCAGACTCTTCCCCCGCCAACTCTCCCAGCTCAAAATCCTTCTTTAACGGAGGCACACCAAGCTCGCGGCACCTCGGCCCGCCCATCCTCGACAAGTGGCACCTCAACGTCGGGGGCATCGATGTCTCCCCATACTGCAGATCAGCCTCAGTCAGCGCAGGACGCAACTTTGTTGGTGGGCACATGGATCATCACTCCAGGACCGATAGTTCCCAATCCGTTTAGTCCATGGACCCCACCAGCGCGTACCTCGGCACTCTCGGCCATTGGCAACCCACTGCCACCGGGCACGGTCCAAACCTGGATCATCACTGAAGGTCCACTTGTCCCACGACGTGATCCACAGACGTGAGACATCGCACAGAGCTTCCAATTTTGGCAATCCCCGGAGAGTGAGGTCTCCTCCTACTAGGGATTGCATACACCACAGATTTCACCTGATCACCTAAGCACTGCCTCGGTGACAAAATTCAACTGTGCTCTCTCATAACGATGCTTCGACTACTCCTTAAAGTGCACATTACATTACCTCATGCTCAGCAGCCACCAAGGTGGGAAGGTCGGCCAACCACAATGCCTGCTCCTTACTCTCTCAGAATTGCATCTGCAGCATATGCCCCGGTAGCACTTAGCTGCGGCCAACAAACAGGCTTCAGCAGAAAAACATCCATCATCTTTCTCTCTGGCCTTCAGGCTCAAAGGCAGAATAGAGAGGTCTCCTCCTGCTGCCCAGCCCAATCCTTAAAGCCTGCACAATGATGCATACATGCCCTGCACTAAACCTCTTCTGCAGGGCAATGCTACACACAGGACGGAGCACCCGGGATCCGGATGCGAACCTCTACATCTCCGAAGAAGCTAGAGCTCTGGCTCGTCGAGAGAATTGTGCGCTAGCACCCACTCTCAGACTGGCGGCGCGCAGTTACAATTGGATTCGAATTCTTTCCCAATCAGCACAGCCGAATCTTCAGCTGCTAGCAGAGGCCGAGATTGCATCCCTATCATCACTCACAGAAACTCCTCCTCACTTGCAGCACTATGAGTCAGAGCGTAGCTCCCTCACCTTGCAGATGATATTGGAAACCGTGCACATCTACACTGAAGAGGACGTCATGGAGCCTGATGACTTCAAGCTGGCGGCCCTGATCATCTCCCAGACCCTGCACAACCTGGGAATGGGTCGCCAAACGGTGAGGGACATTGTCAACGGTGCGGCCCAGCACCTGCGTTGGATTTTTCCCAGCAAAGCTACCAGAGTCCTGAACGGCATACACCTTTGTCTCTTCCCTTCAGAAATCTCGCCGTGGCCGCGCGAGGATGACACCAATCCATACGCTCGACTACGAGACGAGCATGCTCTGGGCATCCTTGATGCAGAAATTCACATGCTGAAGAGAGCATCCACAATTTACCGGACCATAGTCATGGTAGACCTCACGGTTGCCAAAACCAAAGGAGAGCGAATGCCAGACGAAATTTGTCCCAGCGAACCTTGGGACGTCATGCGTCAAGATCAAGCCTTGGCACTTCTCTCCTATGCCGAGCACTTGACGGCACTCTACGACCTCTTGCCCAATAATGCCTACCAGATGATGAGGGCCGACCTTACTCTTGGCCGAACCTGGCTGTCGCGACCTATCGCCGACGCGGAGCTGGCCACACTTGAAGCATTATGGCATAACACTACGGTACCAGAAAGTTTTGCCAAACTCCACCTTGCCCTTCAACTCAAAGGGCAAATTGCAGTCCACTCGAAAGCTAATTGACCACGTGAGGTCCCCTCCCGGTCAATCAATCAGCCATGCCGTTACTATCGCGCGAAGTTCTGCTCGAAATTCTCATGGAGTCGCTTCACGTGCCAACCACCGTTCACTTACCAGGCGGAGCACGTGAACAGATGGCCACATCTACCTCAGCAGAAACCCACCTTGCCCCAAGGAGGCTCACCTTTACCACAGACGAACTCGCACCTATGGAGGCAAGAAGCGAGAGAGTGGCATCAAGGCTATGCAGCTTTATATGCCAGCTGGACAGGCACCTAGCCTGGCGCGAGGGCAGACACGTTGATTTGCCCTTTGAAGATTGGCCGCGTACACTAGCAGGCAAGCGCAAGCACATTGATGAAGATCTGCCTCCAGTTCAACCCCCCCCACACATGGGTTATCTTCAGCGCCAGCAAATAACCTACCTCTCCATCATGATCCGCAACTACACAAATGATGGAGAAGGCTCACCGTCTTTTAGAACGTTCGATGCCAACGAAGCATGCACTCTCACTTGGCAATATCTCGTCAGGAGATTCTCGCAGACGGAGCTCAGTACAATTCTGCTCCGAACTTTGGAGCAAGCCAAAGTACTACTGCGATCGGAGTTCACCCTGGCACATCAGCGGAACCTTCTACAGGAGCACCCGCAAGCGACGGAGGAGAACTGGCAAGGCAATGCAGAGGAAATTGCCTGGGTTCGATCCATGATCAAGGAAGCAGTGATCTCCAGAGGCGAACTTATGGAGCTTTTTGAGGAAGCCTTGCTCAAGCAGATTAATTCTGCCTTCCAAGCCAGCGCTAGACTTCCCAATCCGGAGGACCACTCTCAAGACTTCCAGAACAGCATGGCTCTTCGCTTCTACCAAATCATCAACCCATTGTACGACGACGTCTATGAGGAGTACAAGCCGTATGCAATAGTCTATAAGATGCTCGCTTCCTTTCATCGCAAACAGGTACAGTCCCTTCTTCGGGCTCGAGAAGCAGCAATTCTGGCTTCCCCATATCGTACCATCAATCTGGTTCCAGTATGCGAGTGAGGTCGCCTCCAGCAAGCTGAACCATTATTCCTAAGTGCCTGAACAGTCCTAACAAAGGACCTGATCCAGTCTCCAGACAATTGCTCGCACTGCAGAAGAAAAGCCTCAATGCCTCTTTATGGACAAGTGCCAGCCTGCATGGCCGATGATCTCAGACTAAGCCTGCCTGCCAGCCTGCCTGCTGAGGTTGAAGACCAATCTCGCAAATACCTGTACAGAAGCGCAGCCCACATTGCTTGAAGAAGGTAGGACATCGGACAGATCAGGTCCCGAACGACTAGGTCACTCAATTTTCACCTCGATGCCCGCCAAGGTGTGGGACATAACCCGCACATGCGTCCGAAATGAAATGAAATGAAATGGTGGTGGGGTGGTGTGGTTGTGGTTGTGGTTGTGGTTGTGGTTGTGGTTGTGGGTGTGGGTGTGGGTGTTGGTGTTGGTGTTGGTGTTGGTGTTGGTTGTTGTGGTTGGTTGTTGTGGTTGGTTGTTGTGGTTGTGGTTGTGGTTGTTGTTGTGGTTGTTGTTGTTGTTGTTGTTGTTGTTGTTGTTGTCGTTGTGGTTGTTGTTGTTGTTGGTGTTGGTGTTGGTGTTGGTGTTGGTGTTGGTGTTGGTGTTGTTGTGGTTGTTGCTGTTGCTGTTGCTGTTGGTGGTGGTGGTGTTGTTGGTGTTGTTGTTGTTGTTGTTGTTGTTGTTGTTGGTGTTGTTGGTGTTGTTGGTGTTGTTGGTGTTGTTGGTGTTGTTGGTGTTGTTGGTGTTGTTGGTGTTGTTGGTGTTGTTGCTGGTGTTGCTGGTGTTGTTGGTGTTGTTGCTGGTGTTGCTGGTGTTGCTGGTGTTGCTGGTGTTGCTGGTGTTGTTGTTGTTTGCCCTGTCCTCAGCGCGTAGAGACAGCCTTTGGAAAATATGTGTTTCGTGTTGAGGACACGAGAAGTTCCCTCGTTTCCCAAGAAGGTGACGCATCCTTTCTTCCTTGTTTTTTCTTGTCTTTTCTTCGAAAGACAGGAGATGGATACGAATGATTCAGGAGTGGTGAGAGGAGAAAGCCAAACGAACCGAAGCGAGATACTAGATAGGTGACACACGGTTTGAATCGTTCCGCCAAGCTGCAAGCATTGAATGAAGGACAGCTATGCCATGGGACTCCAGCGCGCGGCATCCTTGCTTCACCTAGTTGCCACAAGCAGGTAAAGAAGGACAGCTACTGCTACTGCAGGGACCTCTGGGCTCCCACATTTCGCAAGGCTCACAAACAGTATGAAAATCAACACAGGAGGACCGTTCTGATTTCCGATTAAGATTAGAGGAGACCCTATAAACAACTTGAGGGCTCGCCGGGCTCGCTGCTTTTGCCAGAGAAGAAACTTCCCTGGCGTTCTCAAGAGGGCTCGCTTGTTCCGGATTAACCGGCTCTGAACACCTCTTTTCGAGAACGTTCTTATTCGTGCAAACGCCATTTGAAGCTGAAGAGAGAACAGAACTTTGTTATTTCACTGGAAAAGGGGTCCTTTGTTTCCGGGTAGAGATAGCTATCGAAAGTGTGAAGAGTGCTCTGGTTCTCCTGAAAAACACGAGCGACTTCTTTCTTGGAATGATAAAACGGGCTACTTCTTTGAAAGAATCATATACGGAGATTCGTGTTGAGAATGCGAAAAGATAAGCCGTCTCATTTCGGAAGAAGGAGGCTTTCCCGCTTCGTACAAGACAAGAATATTCTGACTAAGAAATACATTTATAGAGCATTTTCCGCCGAGAAGGGAACCTCTCAGTCCGTTCTGTCAGGGAAAGAGGAGAGGGGGAGAGGAAAAGATAACGAAAGCGAAAAGAGGGAGAGAGGAAGTCCGTTGGTTATTTACTGAGTTTCATTAGGAAAGAAAGGCAACACCTCACATTATACCTCAAGGTCCATGCCACGTACCACCATATGGTTGTGCTTTGTGGCCTACACTACAATCATCACTACAAAACAACACATGGTGCCACGTTTTCAGTGCTTCGGTTTAAAGGTTTAGGACGTAGGTGAAAGGGACTTAGTACAAGCCTGTCGTTGAAGGGCGTTGAAGGATGACTTTGCTGCGCGTGTCATCGGCGCAGACACTTTTGGAAGTGGGAAGCCTTCCCTCCACGAGTGCGAAGTCTGACTTCTCACTGTTGGCATCCACAAGAGACCAAGTGCTGGTGCAAGAGGTTTTGCCGGGTGACACCAACTGAAGGTTGATGCAAAACGAGAGCGCCTTCTTATTGCGACCCTTAATCACTTCTCAAACGCGTGCATCCTGACCTTGGCAACATTGTCGGTGTCTAACATCACCGTCAAACCCTTGGACCGTCATCTCTGTAGCGGATTTGGATACTCATCGTCTTACCCTCTGCGTCCTCTGCATCATCGTCGCTGATGTCATCGTCCTCAATCAAACTCTTGATGAAGGAGTGCTTCACCATTATCATTTCCATCCGCCGCTCAACAAAGGCTCTTTCGTCACGAAGTTCCGCCAATGTCATCCGGTAGTACTCCTCCTTCATCTCCTACCCCTTGAATGCCGCTTGTGTCTCCTCCGGAATGTCATTCTCTGTGTAGCGCATTTTGAAAACCCGCAACACGACCGCTTGCCAGTGGACGGGGCAGGGGCTTCTGGTGCCACCGGTAAGGTTCTCAACGTGAGCTGCCGTTGCGAAGAAATGCGAATCGTGTCACTGAAATGTTCTTATTGAGCGAAAGGTGCCATGCAAGTGTAGGTCTTGATGTGCAACAATGGCCTTCCAAAGAAGCAACATTCTGTCAGAAGGCGGACCTGCAACGTCCCAAGTTGAAGAAGTCGGTCAGGAACGTCAGCGCGATACTTACTATAAACTTAAAGCACAAAAACCCCAACAACAATTATAATGAATATGATATACATATGTGTTATAATTCTTGGTAAAACGTATCAACCACCACAATAAGAAAACCCCCACAACAATTGTAAAAACAACTACTGAAAGTATTGAAAGGAAATTATTGAGGATACAACGCTACAGACGCCCAACCCCCAGGACCAATAGGAAGAAGCCGAATGAACCGACAACACAAAGGAAAGAACCAAGAACGTGGAGCAAGAGTTTTACAGAAATCTTTAGAATAATCTGCGAATGAATGCGGGGCACAGACCCCGCAACAGCCCCCAGAGCAGACGAACCAACCTTTTACATTTTTTCCCCCCGACCCCCCCCCCTCCCCCGACCCCCCGCATTCTTTGTGCGGCGCAAGCTTGCTTCAAAGCATGACTCCTTCCAAACCCAGGATGCGAGCATTGTGTTTGGAAATGAGGGGGGGGGAGCTTGCTTCAAAGCATATGAATCCTTTCCGAACCCATGATGCGAGCATTGTGTTTGCAAATGGGGGGGGGGTCCCCTGCCCCCGCCCCCTCAACTTTTTTTTGGTTTGTTTTTAAACCGGGCAAGCTTGTTCCAAACCCATGATGCGAGCATTGTGTTTGCAAACCCCCTTTTTTTGGCCGGGTAAGCTTGCTTCAATTTCGAAGTCCCTAGTTGCCCTAGTTGCCTGACCCAAAACAGGCCCCTGGAATTTGCAACTCCCCAATAGCTTGAAGTCTTGAAACATAGTTTGCAAAGTCGTGCCATTCCCACCATTCCCCATGATGCAAAGCAAGTTAGCGGGACGCAAAACAGGACCCTACAATTGCAATGCCGAAGTCCGCTTAACGCAAAGAAGGACCCTACAAATCTCGCCAATAGCTTGAGGCAAAACAGGACCCTGCACTTTCGAAGTCCCCAATCGCTTGACGCAGAACAAACCGGCCAAAGGCTTGACCAAGCCTTTTACAAAGGAACCTGTTTTGGCCAAACCTTCTGAGAAAAAAGAACGCCCTCCGCCTCCGAAGAAGTCGCAACGAGGCTTGCTTTGGCGCCACCCTCAGAAGTAGTGGCTCTCGAAGTGGGCATCCTTCCCCCGAAAGGTCGGTGGCTTTCATCAGCTGCACTACTTGGCACTACTAGCAACCAGTTGGCCACAACAATCCTGAATACCCCAGGAGCTGCCTCATTCGTTCCGAAATCGTGAGTTTGCCCAGCATGCTTAGTGTTAACCTTCCCAAAAATAAAGGGTTTTCTGGAGCGGCGTTGGTTCTTCCAAGAGTGGCAACGAAAGATTGCTTCTCTCCGCTCTTTTGCACTCTTTTGAGGTGGATCGCCCCGGGCGACCTGAGCCGCGCCCTCCGCCGGTGAGAGCAATGGAGGAAAGATGGAGGAAAAAAGAAAAAAGGAGGAACACACTTGAACAAATGTGCCTTCTTCGCTTGTCTTCGAGTCTTCGAGCCCAATCACCATGCTCCCCGCCGTCTCCGTATGTCTCCGTTTTCTCCGAGTGACATAAATCTGAAGGCACAGCGTCGAAAGAAGGCGTTCAAAACGAACTCCCTCCTCGTTCGATATGCAGGATTTGTGCCTAAGTGGTGGAGCAGGCTTCAGTGATCGGTAATTGCTTAGATGCCTTCTTTTGCCCTTAGTCTTTCGCTCCGTTTAGTTTCCTGTGGGAGGTATTCGGCCCACAGCCAGTGGGCGGCAGCACTCCTGGTGCTCTTCGTGGCGGGCGTGGTGACCGCCGCGCGTCCTGCCGCCACAGTTTGCAATCTGTTGCATGCGGTGGCCGTGAGCGGCTGTGATCTGTGATCGTTGGACATCCCTGTTGAGCTTACACGTGTGTGAACATTAAAGTGACATGGCACTTGTCAGAAGAAGTTCAGCAATGCGCAAGATGATTCTTGGTGTCACTGATGCAAAATCAGGCTTGATTTCCGAAATAGGTGTGCAAGAAAGCACATCAAACATGCATTGCTTCGAATAAATAGCGGGCATGCTGCTTCTCAAATAATTGTAAACGCTTGCGCGCGCCGCCTCGGCAGCCGGGCCGGCCAGGACAGGAAAGAAAAAGGGGAGGAAGGGCAGCGGGGTCCTCCACGGCATCGGTTTGCAGCTCCTCCAAGCGATTGGGGGGGGTCCCACAGGGCGGGGGGGGGGGGGGGGGGGGGGGGGGGGGGGGGGGGGGGGGGGGTGGCGTCAAAAAAATTCTGCATGAGGGGAAGGGTTGGGTTAGGGGGAAGGAGGCCCGATCCGGGTCTGCTTGTTCCAGACGCTTCTCGGCAGGAAGCCGAGGCGAATACAGGAGTGTACACACATCTGCACACACGCATGATTGATAAAGCCGGCAATCATACGCAGCGCAGCACTGTTTATTTGAGCCAGTATGTTCATGTGTGCCGTTTGTCCCCATACATCAGACTTAAGAGTAGAATTTCAAGCCGCAGACCTCGTCGTGCGTTGTCAGGCTATGAAAATAGGCTTGAAAATTGGCTTTATAACCTTATTTTCCATTTCACATAAACACGTCGAAAAGCTCTGCCCAAGACCCTCGTCGTCGATTCAGGGTGTTTGCACACCAGCGCGTGCCCACACGCACGCACGCACGCACACACGCGCACACACACACACGCACGCACGCACGCACGCACGCACGCACGCACGCACGCGCACGCAAGCACGCACGCACGCACGCACGCACGCACGCACGCACGCACGCACGCACGCACGCACGCACGCACGCACGCACGCACGCACGCACGCACGCACGCACGCACGCACGCACGCACGCACGCACGCACGCACGCACGCACGCACGCACACACGCACACACGCACACACGCACGCATGCACAAACACACACACACACACAAACACACAGCTCATGCTCTGCAAACTCATGCACTGCAGACCGTGCACTGCATTGCCCTGCACTGCACTGCAGACCTGCCTCCGGAGCCGACGGATTTCGAAGTCTTGGCGCGGCGAGCCACCTGCCCAGAGCACCGTTATGGTATGTTACGGTGCTACGGCGTAGAGCACATGTGCGCTCCCAGCACACCTCAGCACATCTCAGCACAACATCGACAAGCACAACTCCCCATTTTCAGTTCGGATTGCAGTGCAGCGCAACATACGAGTTCTGTGAGGCGACGCCGAGGTTGAGAATCACATGGCCATACCTGATCTCAGACAGCATCTCGAGAGAGTTGAGAGTTCGTGCACGTCTGAGGCCTGGGCAGGTCTCCTTCTCGGTGCAGCACTGAGTTGCGCAGGGCGAAACGATTGCTACGAATCGTGTAGCAAACTTTGCAACGGTTGCGCCGCAAAGCACCGCACACCGCACCGCACACCGCACCGCACACCGCACGGCACCACACTGCTCCAAGCTGGACCACACTGCACAACGCCACAATGCACCCCACACTCTGCCGCACCATACCACACCACGCCACTGAACGACTCTGGATCACTCTGTAGACCGCACTACTACACCCCACACCACACTGCACTTGACACATGCCGTGTGGCTGCATGAAACCACTTGCATGCCATGTGGCTGAATGCCAGTGAAGCAAACATCATGATCATCAAGACATGCACGTGGCACTGTACATGCCATGTGGCTGCTTGTTAGCTTCATAAGGGCTGCATGATAGCTTGAAGCAAACAACATTCAGACTTGCCATGTCGCCGCACGTTAGCAGCTTTGCCGCTTGTGAGCTTCGAGCGGCCTTTTCTTGATAATGGCGAACGTCTAAACAACATAGAGCGACCACGAAAAAGAACCACCGGACAAAAGAACCCATTTCCGAATCACCCCCTTAGCCCCACGCAACACGGAAAGATATATAAAAAAGTAGAAAGAAGCAAGAAAAGAAAGCCAGTATGACATGAGAAGTGATCGGGATGGCGAGGCAGCTTCTGACAAATATGGCTAGCAGGGTGTTACGTTGCTCTGTGTAAATCTTCGAACTCCAAAGCAACCGCTTACAGTTTCGGTTTCCCACGATCGCTGCAAATCCATGAACTCTTCATGAGTATACGCGAGTAGCGCACAGGCCCAAACAGATTGCAACACCGAAGCCGTCCAGAATGCAGAAAGGTCTTAATTGGGTGCCATCCTTCTGCGATCTCCTGGCAACCCCCGCGGAACATGATGCTGAACAGCACGCTAGCAAGCGCGATCACACTGCACGACCTCGCGAGCCAGGCAAGGGGCTTGTCGAAGCGCAACTAGGCGCAACTAAAGGCCTGTCCGTGCGCCCCCATAATCCGAGCTCCTGTTTAATTGGGGGGGGGCCCCCCCCCCCCACAATAAGGAAGGCAGGGTTCCGCAATAGTTGGACCATGGCCCCGTATGGTTTCCCCGGCTTCCTTAAAGCTTTTCCTTTTAAGCTTCAAGGCTTCTTTAAAGACTACAGGACCAGGGCTCACCACGGGCCAGGGCCTCCCATAATTCTGGCCCCATTCTATTAATGTGACTCCGCCTTTCCCGGCCAGAGCCCGTAAGGGGTAGCTCAGGAAAGAATGAAAATTTCTCTCCTCCAGTAAGCAATCACATAAGAAATCCTTGGTTTCCGAAGGCCCTCAGCTTCTAGAAAACCGAAGCCCCGGCAGAAGAAAAAAAGCTTTCCGAAAGGCAGAGTTTCAAAATTTGACAACCC